AAGGCGTGGGCCAGGGCACTCTTGGCCTGTGGAGACAATGGGATTGGGGCAACTAGTCGCCTGTGAGACAATAGAATGTTACTCTAGGGAAAGTTATTGAAATTTTTTTGAATCTGACTTTTAATGTTAGCCCAGGAAGAAAAGGTACATTGATTCCATAGTCTGAGAGTCTTCTTATTGCTTCATTCATCAGAAGCTAGAATGTTACCTCAGGAGAGATGATGGGTAAACTCTAAATGAGAACTATAAAGCTGGGAGTTGTTGAATCCTTTCAAATATGTCCTAAAGTTTCAGCTTCCATTATGGTAAAGCAGAATAAGAATTATAGTTTTTTTAGATCTCAACATTTTTCTATATGCCATTGTTAATCCAAATACAGACCTGAAATTGTCCTTGTCTCAGTATCCAGGATATAAGTGATACACTGCTCTACTTTTCTTCCCACACTAGAGAGGGAGGTGGCAAAATTGTCCATCTAGATTGAAAGCTCTCAAATTGAAATGACATGGCTAATGTACTCTAATTTTATGTGAGAGTAGGAAATATCCTGAAAGAAAATGGAACCTGAATCCAAAGTCAAATCCCCTACAGGAAGTACCTTACCTTTATTTCTTCTTCTAAATGTCTCTTAAGTTCCTCAATCTGTTGAGTAAATGCCTGTTTGCCTCGGGAAAGCTGAGATATCAAAGCATCTTTTTCTTCCACCTGTCGTGAATATTCACCTAAGAAATTTTACAGAGAGACTGGAATTTAAAAAGCAATACGAAACTAATGTGTCTTTAAAGCATTGTATACCAGCTTACAGAGAATAGATCAATTTGAGTAAGACATCACTCTTTTTCTTGTCGTCATTGGTTATAGGTTCTCCCATTCCAGAGGGCTGTGGGGGTGTATTACCTGCTTCGGTCTGCAGACGAGCTCTTTGAGTATTGAGGTCATTGATCATGCGCTGATGCTCCTCTTCTTTTGTCTTAATCTCACTTAGTTGGTCTTCTAGAGTACGACACATCTTCTCCAGGTTTGCCTAGGTAGCAAACACAAGGAAGGAAAGGAGATGAACACCTGGACTCTTCCTTATCCTCTCAGCAGGGATTTTTTTATGAGAATGTGGCTGGTAGATGTAGCCTATGTGCCACACCTTGGCCCTGTGAGCATGTTCTACTGTAATTCCATACCTTGGCTTTGGAGACAGACTCCATGTTACTGGCCAAGTCGTCAATCTCCATCTTCAGCTCACTCTTCTCCTTCTCCAGCTTCTGCTTCACTCGTTGCAGGTTGTCGATCTGCTCCCCGAGCTCAGCCGTGCTGTCCGCATGCTTCTTCCGCAGCGCGGCAGCCGTGGCTTCATGCTGCAGTGTGGCTTCTTCGAGGTCACGACGCATCTTCTGAAATTCTGCCTCACGCTTCTGTTTCATCTCAATCTGAGCTGCAGTAGCCCCTCCTGCTTCTTCCAGGCGCTCACTGATCTCCTCTAGCTCTCTCGACAGGTCAGCCCGATGCTTCTCAGCTTTTGCCCGAGAGGTGCGCTCTGCCTCAATTTCCTCCTCCAGTTCCTCAATACGAGCCTGGCAAACATGAGGCACCCTTCACAGCCATGCCCTGCTCCTGCCTGACCTGTGTCTGAGTGAAAGAGGGGAAGGAACAGAGACTTGC